TATTAATAGGAAAGCTAAGCCAACATTGTCGTTCTTTGCTATCAAAACCAGATAAATTTTCGTGGACCCTCACTAACTACTTGTTAGCCCCCATTTCTTTTTCACGTCAACGTACACCCCCGTCGAGTCTCGCGTGAACCTATGAGAAGCCATCTGAACCTCATTGAGAATCACTGACCTAAACAGTAGTGATAATAGAAGCTGTTTCACGGCAGATGTCAGTGATGCTTTGCTAAGTTAAATATGTATTTATCGCGAGCAAAACATAAACAAATGCGTCACTCTTTTTTTTCGATGAATAAATCACAAAACAGGTCCATCGAACGCAAAATGTTAATAGCCAACTTATCTTAGTTGGCGAGACAGTTATTTAAGCAAACTTAGATAACTTGAAAAATCATCATTAAATCGATTACCTAAATTGTAAATATAACTATACATATGTATATGTATGTATATACCAACGATCGCGCATAGCTTCCGGGGACAGCCATAAAAGTAGATCAACAAATAAACATACGAATATATGTATGTAGATATTTTGCTGGGATTTCCCATTCTTATGATTTCGATAATTTGACAGTTTTGAGAGTGTTTTCCCCGAAGCACGTTCTTGACAAGTGATAAATATTTAGTATCGCATGGATAACTTTTGTTGGACTGTGATTATACGTATAGTAGGGGCGTTCTTAAAAATAACAACATTGTATAACGCTTGACAGAAGAATTTACTATTCAATTGCAAAGTCAGAATTAACGTAAGTGATGACAGGTAAGTCCCAAATGGGTTCTAAAATCACAAAATAGTAGGGTATTGAATATAAGCCCTCGATATGTATGTATAATTGAAATTTTTGACTTTGAATTTTATATGAATCAATTTCAAAAATATGCCAAATTTATCAGATTTCAAGCCGCATATTTACGATAAAAAAAATTACATTTTTTCAAACCGTGGTAGCGATTTCTTTCTTAAATTTGAAATTTTCGTTTCATTTTCATTTTGTAGATAGAAAAATATAAAAGGGTGCCCCATGTTGTTGATATTTTAAGGACCTACATACATACCTATGTACATATATGTATATATGTACATATTTATAAGTACATATGCACTAATGAATGAAGAGCTTATTGCTGCAACGAAAACAAACGTTTTTAAAAATACTTAAGTACATAAATACATACATACATATATATGCATATGTATGAGCACTTCATGCTTGCTAATTGTTTATGTAAGCCGATTACGTAGCTCTGTACGAATCTTTACACACAGCCACAAATGTGCTCTTGCACTTGGTCTTGCAAGCCGAAATAATGAAATTCGCACATTAAACAAAATAATTAACAAGTTTTATTGGCAACAAAATGATGGATGCTGAAAATTCCCGCAGTAAATTTACAAATTCACTCGCAAATTTTTAAAAGACTTTAACGACTAAAATTTGATACTTTATGTTGAAGGAACTTTGTGCATTGTATTCCGTTATCCTCTCTTCGTCTTTACGCCCTTTGATGGCTCTCCTAATCATTATTTTATGAAATTTAAGAAATTCATTGCAGCTATTGGTTGCTGCCTATATGAGACAACTAAATGTTAACCGCACTTCCAGTATTATTTAGGCAACTTTGGTTTTCATGGTCTTATACATATGAAGGTGTGTGTATTAAGGTGGACTTGTTTTATAAAAATTTTACATTTAATCAGGACACCCCCTAAAAACGTGAGATTGATGGAAAAACTACGATATAAAAAATTTTAGATTTTTAGTTTACAACTTGTGCATTGGGTCCGAAGCTTGAAATGGCCCAAAACACTAATTTTTTTAATTTTTTATAGCTTATACATTTTCTTACACATTTTTTAAGTGTGCTTTAATATCGATGCTGCTATTCCGTATTCATAAGGGATCTTTTTGTGAATGATGGATATCTGCAGCTATACCCAATCTTTTCCGACTTATTATTATAAATATTGCAGTTCGTCTTGTTTTTTTGTCAAGCATTTATTGTAATTTTGCATCGGTTTTACACCACGCTCTGCGGTATCATACACAGCTCTAAGTGCACTTATGATTCTCTTACCATTCCTAAAATCTTCACCATCTTGCCACACAGTTGGATTTTTTTTTTTTCAAAAATGTCTTGGAACTGTTGAAATGCTCATATAGTTTGCCAGTGTTTGGTGTAATCAAATCAGCAAATTGATTTTCTAGAAACTTGGTTACCACTCAACCACTTTGAATTGAGGATGCTTACAATATTCAACACCTTCTTCATCATAATTGGTATGAAAGGAATTTAAGTTTTGCCACATTCTCAGTTTATCCTCCAAATGGAATGTTATCCTCAAAGAATGAAAACGCTAGATATTCATCTGATAAGTAAAAAAGAGTCTGTAAATTTGCCAACCACTTTTGTTTTTGGCCTTTTTTCATCAAAATTCTTATAGTTATGCATATTTCGCAGATATTGAATCTCTTCTTCTTGAAGTGCTTCAGGATGGCAGTGGAACGAAACCAAACCTTCACTTAAAAACTTACTATGAAAAGGCAAATTTATTTTTCGTGTTGCGTTAATAAAAATTTGTCTTTAAACATATATAATTTCAGCGAATAAAGTCTTTTGATATCCAGCACGTATGGTGCATAGGTCCAGGTGATCTAAAACTCGTTTCAGCTAGGCTGTTCTTCATTAATGCTGTAAGGCTCTGGAACTCAATTCCTGAATTAAATTTTTAAACTTAAACTTAAATTTTTTAAGCTTAAACCGTTTTGTTATTTGAGATGATTTTTTCATCTTTAAGAAACTATTTTTATTCTTAAACAACTCCAATTTTGGAGGTTATTTTCAAATCGGTCTAACTTAAGTGAATCTTAATATTTTTCCGAAATATTTTGGTGGACGTCTTCAAATACAACAGCTTATATAATTCCAATGGAAACACTGTACCGATTTTTTTTTTTTGTATGGGGAGTGATGCGGTCTAATGTACATATCTACTGAATGAATGAGAATAAGCCAAAAACTATTTCAAAAGGAAAGACAAATGATAAAAAATTAGCGAACGAAAAAAAAAAAAATGTTTCTCGGAGTTGAAAAATTAGCTGAGTAACATATTTTATTGGTGTTTTTTATGCCGATTTCGTTTCTACCGAAAAATCTAACCTTCTTTTTGCACTCTACGTACAAATACTAAGAGGAGGGCGATGAGAAGGCAACATTTTTTGGAGAAACTAAATCGCCATTAATATTCAAATCAACAACTTTTTTTTTATATTTTTTTGCGCAGTAGAAATGGATTTTATTATGTGATGGTGAAACATCTTCTGTTGTCTTCGATCGGGTATAAATAGGTTCCGCAAAACTGTCACTCGACATTAGTTTGAATTGGAAAGACAGCAGCAACGCACGCAACGCCCAGCTTGTACGTATCGTAAACGCGGTCCTTTATAATTTTTGTTTGCCTTCTAAATACATACAAATATCCAAACGGATACTTAAAACTATGAAATTTGTGTTTATTGTGACGCTGCTGATCGCAGCTGCTTCGGCGATGCCACAATTCGGTGGTGGTGGTAACGGTGGCTTTGGAGGACCTGGTGGTGGATTTGGTAATTCTGGTGGAGGCTTTGGAGGACAAGGTGGTGGATTTGGTAATTCTGGTGGAGGCTTTGGAGGACAAGGTGGTGGATTTGGAGGTGGTGGCTTCGGAGGTGGTGGCTCTGGAGGTGGTTTTGGAAGACCTGGTGGTGGCGGCTTTGGAGGTGGTGGCTTCGGAGGTGGTGGTTTCTGATCTGGTGCTTTTGGCGGTGGCGGTCCAGTATTCCGCTAAATGCCAGCGACGAGTGGCCAGTATGTAACCTTTTTATTACCTTCCTTTTATTAGCTCGGGATGTAACTATGTATGCGCCTAAAAGATGCAGAGATTTCTATTCTCAAGTTACATACCTGATGACAGTCCGAATGACAATTATAATAGGGAGGTTTTAGTTTTATAACTATAATTTTATTTATGCTTTAAATAAAACAAAAACCAAAAATATTCTGAGAAAATTTTAGTGGTTTTATTACTTTGCGAGTTTTATGAGGGCCATAATTCATGAAAATACGTCGAAATATGTATCTGTATCTTATGGCCATAGGTCTAGGTTGAGGGCTGATGATGGGCACAAGGTTCGATAAGTGCTCGGACTTATTTAGCCGGCCATCGGTTGGTTGGTTGGTTCGTTGGAAGTAAATTGGCAAATTCAACGGAAATGGGGCAACGGAAATTGCACACGGAAATGGTTGGGACGGAAACAAGTGCTTCTTAAATGTGTGCACATGGTATTAATTTAACAAAAATGTGCTAATAAAAGGTTAAAGAATAAGACTTCGAGCCAAATTCACAGTGCTTAGTTGGCCCTTAGATAAGGAATCAAAGTAACGGTGAGTACGTAGATATATAAAGAAAAGGATAAAAGCAGAGGTAAAAATAAAAACAAAAACAAGGATGTGTAAACATAAAGGCAAAAATGAAGGTCAAGGCAAATTTAACACTTTACTGAAGTAAGGGCAAACGTGTCTGTTTATTGCTTAAGGAGTGTCAATGATTTTCTTGTTTTTATATTTTCGTGAAATTACAGCCTTACAGATGATCGATAGAGTTTAAAATCGCATTTAGAGAGGTTGTCGTCTGCAGACGGATCGTTCATTTTTCCTATCGTTCGTGATACAGAATAGGGCCCTAAGACTCCTAGAAAAAAAAAACAAAAAATGTGATTTTTATTTTTATTTTGATAACTTATTTCTCCAAAAGTATGCAAATGCCATATATGGGAAATTGTTGTTGAAGAAAGATTAAACAAGCGGCCTGCCTCCCAAGGAAAACCGCACGTTAACGTTATGAAGAAGGTGGATTTCAAAGTGATATGCTAATGTTTAAAAAGCATGAAAAAAACTAAAAAGTCGCTTTAATTGAACTGAAAAGTACAGATTTCGTTTAAGAGTAATAGGAAGTTTCCTAACTTAATTTAATTAAACTTTTAAAACCAACTTCATAAGCAAGTGCCCTGCGCTGGGCATGCCTGCTTTAAAAGGATTGATAAAAAGTTACATAACTTATTTCTGATTTTGTGATCTACTCGGAAGAAGCAAGACTTCTTACTCAGAACAAGCAAGATTTGTTATCGACCTTTCGGCAGGCCGTCGCAATTTTCGCTGTACCAATTTTTCGCAGACGCTTTCGTTATTTCTCCACTTTTTCGTGATCTTGTCGATGTAACCAAAGATATGCTCATCCGTTTACATACATATCACTTGTTTACCGGCCATACAGGGCCGGATGAAGAATTTGATGTGCCCGGGGCCGTTATACATGTGGGGGCCCATTTTTGAGTTAATAATTATGTACGATTAATTGGAAATAACGTTACATTGTCATTTTAACCGTATCGTTATTTACTGACTTCTTGAATTCTGACTAGAGATGGGCCTGGGACTAAATATTTAAACCCGATCTCACACAGCCTGAAATTCAATTTTTGAGTCCCGAATGCGGCCAGCCTGATGTGACGCTGTTCGTTTTCGTCACAATAAAACATAGAAATAGTTATTTTTAAGGAAGATATGAGTTTGTGGAGGTTGCGGGTTTTATCGGCAGTATCGGAAAAAGATTATCGTCCCGTTGCGCCCGCAAAATTGTTTAAGACCTTCCCCGAAATCCTGCGACCATCTCTACTTTTGACCACGTGTTTCCATTCATCTTTTATTCTCGTCTGAATTTCTTTGTACTTGCCGCTCATCTTGCATGTAGTCTTAAACGACTGACCACGGCAGTCTCGTATATCAACAGACTTATTATTTCTGCCTGTACTTTTTCACTCTTCAAAGTTATTACTTCCTCGCAGAGGATAAGTGATTCACGTGCCCTCATTCCTTATTTCCGCATTCTTTGATATGTCAGGTAAGAAAGGGGTCATTCTGAGATATTAGTTCCTGCATCCCAAGGAAATTTCAATTATTGTGTGAGTCGAGAGCCAGGAGAAGCTCAGGTTCCGCAAGATGATTTAATGGTGCAGACAAATCTTCTTAATATCTAGCGATGTTATCTGTAATCTCTGAAAAAAATATTTTTTTTGTTCTTTCGTCATCACCAGTGGGGCACCCCCCAAATGTGGGGTCCCTGGGCCGCGGACCCATCGGTCCTGCCCTTAATCCGGCACTGCCTAAATATGTATGCTTGTAAATGTTTATGTATGTATGCATGTATTTATGTATTAAGAACTCATGTACATATGTATGTATGCACTCACTGTGCTCGGTATTTAGAGAATAAACGAAAAACTATTTCAAAAGGAAAGACAAATACTCAACAATTTTCGGACGCAAAAAAAATGTTGAGAAATTAGCTGAGTAGCTTTTTTATTGGTGTTACTTAATATTCAAATGAATTTTTTATTTTTTATTTTTTTTGCGCAGTAGAAACATCTTCTGTTGTCTTCGATCGAGTATAAATAAGTTCCGCAAAACTGTCACTCGCCATTAGTGTGAATTGGAAAGACAGCAGCAACGCACGCAACGCACAGCTTATACATACTTTAGACGCGGTGCTTTATAATTTTTGTTTGCCATATAAATACATAGAAATATCCAAACTCGTACTTGAAACCATGAAAGTTGTATTTATTGTGACGCTGTTGATCGCAGCTGCTTCGGCGATGCCACAATACGGTGGTCCCGGCTTTGGAGGTGGTTTTGGTGGTCCCGGTGGCTTTGGAGGTGGTTTTGGAGGACCTGGTGGTTTTGGAGGACCTGGTGGTGGATACGGCGGTTTTGGTGGCTTTGGAGGAGGTGGATTCGGTGGTCAAGGCGGCTATGGAGGTGGTTTTGGACCTGGTGGTGGCTTTGGACGTCCAGGCTTTGGAGGTGGTGGTTATGGACTTGGTGGTCTTTTCGGCTAAATGCCAGCGACGAGTGGAATTTAGTTTTTAGTAGATTTCTGTTAGATAGTTTAAATTGTATGCAGGACGCATGCACTCAAACACTTACTGCAAGGAAGCTGAACAGCATTCTGTCTTTTTTGTGATTTTTAATAAAACAAAAACCAAAAATATGTTAAGAAAATTTCAGTTGTTTTATTTATTTTTTATTTTTTGGAAATATGAGAAAACTAAAATGCTTGAAAGAAGGCCAAGTTGAGTTTTATGAAGGCCATTTCTAATGTATATGTACATGCTTAGTGAAAATATGACAAAATATGTATCTAACTGTATCTTGTCTCCTTGACTCTTTGTATGCATCCTTATACAAATGCGTTTCTGATCAAAAAGTAACTACTTGCAATACTAACGATAAAAAAACTCAATGCACTTTTAATCATAAATTTTAACTAATTATGATGTAATAGTTTTTGCATGAATACTCATTTTTGGAGGGCTCGCGACACATTAGCAACCCGAAGATGGTAGGCTGAACCATTAGGCCGACGATAGTCGGTGAAGGAGTGACATAACTAACCGCTAACGCGACATTATATTGCCCGCATTTTGCGAGAGAGCATATCCTGTGTTACTGCATTCAAAGTGGGGCTCAGATACCAGTTCAGCGTTGATGATGGGCGCAAGATCCTATAAGTGCTCGGACAAATGGAGCCGACCATCATTGGGATGGCAGTTGGCGAAATTGGCTCGAATTGCCGCGTTATAGCCTCCTACATATCACCATAGTCAGGCGGTGGGAAGGACACCCACTCCATCATCGTTGACTGGGGGTTCGGGCTCGTCTACCGTCGGTGGTGCTGCCCTTCAGTAGAGTTACGGACACTGAAAATTGTGTTCAATCTTCATTTTGCGATTCCGTAACTGTGAGAAAATGCAGTGGTACACAGAGTGCAAAACACACAACCAAAAACTCAAAGATAAAATGCTGTGATTTTTTTGGAAGAGACGTGTACACAATTGTGACAGTTAAAAGTCATTCTCACAC